TGATTAGCATCCCATTGGGTCTCTTAACCCCACCAAAAATTCACCGAGATTAAGTCATGAACGGCTCTCGTAAGTTCGCCAGGAATTCCGATCGCATTCTCAAGCACACAAGGCGGAATAGTGTTTGAATTTTTGTTTAGCCCTAATACTGTACCAGCTATTACACAACGACGTCGACTCAATCTTCTTTCCTTCTTTTTATTCAGACCCCCATTAGGTTCAATTAGACGCAAATGCCTTTACACCCTCGGCAAGCAATGAATCTTTTTCAATCTCTATCACCCGTTTCGACATCGACCAAATCATGACTTGAAGTAGGAAAAAAATAAGATGAACTTAAAGAAAGTCTTAAGAACAGTGATCTTTGGAACTCCATCTCACCCATATCAGAACTATTACGCCTACAGTTCATCGAAAAATAGTCAAAGGCTTAGCGTCAAGTTGTATTTACGTAGTACTTTTAGCTCGTGAAAATAACCTCTGCCACTTCTATGATTACGAAAATATTTATAAAAATCATAATCATATCAAATACCTGTATCTACGAAATCATACGTCTCATGAGCTGGGGAGGTCAAACTGATTTCTGGCGTGAGAAAAATAGAAAAATTCAGTAGGAAAATTACGAAAATACTGTATATAAAACAATCATTTTAATGCGTCGGTGAAATTTGAAGCTAGACTTAAAAATGAGAACCCAAAAAAATCGTTTGAAAATTTTTTTCCCGTGCTTTGACGGTGAAATAATTTAATTTCGACCTGTTTCAACGTCTGTAGACTTCATTCATTTCAATTGACCGTTTGTTTACTACGGACCGCAGAGTCTTTTGAACTGCGGCCCACCTTGTATATGTCGGGTAACAGAAATTCCTGAGAAAATTTTGGGAAAATGCGGTCAATAATCGCGCGTGAATCCGGCAATTTACCTTCGATCCCACCCGCAGTTGATTTTTTTTGCAAAATTCCCGGAAAATATCGAGCAAAAAAAAATGTAGTTCACCTGTACCTAAAATAATTCTCACGCGAATGAAAACCTCGTTTAAAAACGCGAAAAACACGTCCTACTCGAAAACACTTTTTTCCCACAAAAAAAAGAAAATCCGTGACCAGTACATTCTCAACCACTTCGTAAGGAAATATACGAACTAAAATATAATAATGATGGAGTTGATAAATGCTTCGATTATTGCGCTAACCGTTAATCCGTGGATTAACCCGCTTGTGCGAAACTGGGTGAAACTCGGTGAATGGTTTACGCCATTTGCTGTCCCTAATCGCGTTAAAACACGCCCGAGCTACGCGACACCCAAATAAGTGATGCGCCACGGTTGAGTAAAAGTGGACAACGTCTTCAACGCAAATCTGGGTGACTTGTCAGGTCAATCAAAGAACTACTCAGCCTATCATCAGAGGGAACCCAAGCAGTTCGGTCAACAAACTTTCCCTCATCAGCCATCCAATTCTCTGCTCATCCATCACGGTCATGTTTGCAATTTAAACACACACACACAAAAAAAAATTGTTTGACAACGGACGCTCACACTTTCTGAAGGAAATTCTCCCCTCGAAATCTGTACAATTCCTCACTGAAAAAGAGAAGTATCGCAATAATTGTTCTAATTACACGCCAATTATTTTGATAGTGACTAATTGAGGTTTACACAAATTACGTATCACAGGAATTCATCAATGCAGAAAACCTAAATTTTGGTTGAATCCACAATTCATCAAGCGATGAATCAAAACTGTAAATGTGATGAGCAACTTTTTTTAGCAATGATTTTAATTCAGGAGGTTTCTTGATTTGAAAAAATCCGCAGATGACATTTTTGAAATTACGCTTGTACCAGCAGGGATTTTTTAAATTCATGAACCGTAATTTTTTCGAGCAGTACCAACAAAACAAAGTTGAATTTACTTATAAACAAAACGGCGTGCGGACAATTCAAGCTAATTATATTCCATTTGATTTGATTCCATGTACAATGTGCTTAAACTTTTTTGTAGATGACTTTTTAAAAATATAATCTTAATCCTGTCAGCCATGGAGTCATTAATAAACAATGATGTTAGCTGTATATTTATTCCGAATATTATAATAAACTCAAATTCGCTGCGAGGTTATCCACTTAACCGGAATCATCGGTACAAACTTCCGTGTGGATCGTTCGAAAGAAAAGGATCAGCAGTGAAATCTGGTGGATTTCACGTAAAAATCCGAGGGAGAACTGGAAAATCAATAGCTTTTACACGTTGGAAGCCTCAAAAGCTGCGGAAAAAAAACCAGGGATCACCATTTCAGCTCGGAAAGCCATAAATGTGCCAAAGAAACCCGCCTGCATTTTTTTTTCTCACCACATATGAATGAAATATAATAGGTTCGAATCATGTCTCACAGTGAACCACACATCAGAAAGAAAAAACCGCAGCTCCAACCAGCACCAGGAACCCCGACACCAACGAAACAAGTCCCAGGTGGGAAAAAGTCATCCGGCCGAAAATTTCAAGCCGACCTAGTTTCTGTCGTCGGTGGCAAGCACGAACGGAAAATTTCCTTTTGTTCATTACTTTATTTTTATTCTTACTTAATGGAAGCAGTGTAATCATATGCCCTCAGGGTTCATTTCCAGTTGGACTGCTTGGTTCCGCAGAGAAAGTCAGGGTAGAGTTGTGAATTGATCCCCGCAGGTCGACTTCCGGTCTTCCACCAAATAACTTTCAGATGACTGACGAACTCATTTTATTCTAGGTCTTCGCCGCAACTTATGTCAAAGTAAGACCTTTCGTTTCTCCGCCAGAAAAGAAATAGGAAGTAATCACGAAGTAAGTCGTGGCCCTAAAATATTCAGGATCACATCGAGAACATCTGCTCTGAATTTTGAAAATCAGGGCATCAGATACCGGTATTCATTATTTCCTTTTCGAATATTCGTTTTCTTTCATTTGAACCCGATTGGTTCACGACACTCTGCAAAGTGCAGAACATTCCTTGAGAATAAGTCGCAAATAATGCCTTTCTGCAAAACGTGATTAACAGTCTAATTCCGCGGTAAATATACAGTAAAAGTGTCCCCATGTCATGAAGTATCCTTCTAGGAAATTAATGGTAGGCTTTAAACTCAGTACAGTATAACGAATTTTTGGTCTCGATTCTGCACATGGGCCACAGGCATTATTTGAACAATGGCAGAAAAATGTTTCTAAAAATATTGAACTTCAGCATTCCAACTTATGAAAGATGTAAAATACGTTTTATAGAAAAAATGTAGTGTTGAAAAATTCACAACATATTACTTCGAAATTTGTGTTAGCTCCATTTGAGAATGTACACCTTTTTTCAAATAGACAGTATGTTGAAAAGAATTTTTCCTCCATTTGAAAGAAAAAAAGAGGTATAAATGATTCATTTGATTTGAAATTTAATTTTCATTCCACATATACTTAAAGTTCATTTTTATATTTCATGAAAAACAGCACATCAGCATAAAAAGGCAGGTTCACTAATCAAGAGAAGTAAACTACATTAAATATTCTCCTCTACATTGCGTCAGACAGACTTTAAAATTATTCCAAGCTTTGAATTATCTGCTGTAGAAGCACTTTACAGAATTTATCACTCATTTCCCACAAAATTTTGGCCTAAGATGTGTTGAAATCTAAAATATTAATGCAACGAATTTTCCACACGTCCTTAATTGGGAGTTCGTTGTACCGAGATTTTACTGTATTCGCGGCATTCCTCGTCAAGTCTAGTCGCAAATTCCTCCGCACTTAGCGTAAATACTATCTCATTAACTTCAGAAGCGCAATGTTACGCATCCCGGTCTCAACTCAGCGACAACGCGAGACAAGGAGGCGAAGCTAAAAGGCAGGAATTATCGGCCATCGAACAGAACCTCATTATGAAGTGATCCAGGGAAAATTACCGCACGTTTTCCCATCAGACTCGTAAACAAAAACATGAAGTCACGAGGTATTAAGACCGGTGCTCGATTGACCCAGAAACAAAAAAAAAAAAAGCCGCGACCATTACCCAGTTCCATCCCGTGACAATCATCGGAAAAACCCGGTCAACCCCACAATCAAGAACAAATTCTGCCTGCAGCATTTTACGTTTATTTCGAGTGAATAAGGCCACGTGAAAAAAACAGCAATTAAGGTTTGCTAGTTTTTTTTTTAGGCAAAATTTTCTGGGTGACAAGCATCCGACCTACGTGAATTCAACCTATCCCCCAAAGCCCTTCTTAATGAGCTTATTAATCCTCTCGTTTTTCCAAGACGAGCATCTGACCCATGACTTAATCCCTATCTCGCGCGCCAAGCTTTCAACCTATCCTTTGTGTGGACCGAAGAAAACAGCTGCGAAGTTAAATAACAATTTTATTTCAAACGAATTCATAAAATAACAAAATGAAAACTAAAAATTGATACAGTCATAACAAACAATCCGAGGTACGGTTCAGTGCAGTAAAAACAGAAAAAAAACGCAAAAATTTTAATGATCATCACCAGCAGCTGCTTTTTGCAGCTTTTTGATCTTTCTTCATAACTACGGAGTCTGGTTTACTGTACGTATAATGCTCTCAATATAAGAACGGGGGTTGCGCAAATTAAATTTGCTGAACAGCTGACAAATTCTATTTGACTTTTCAATATACTTGGGATTCTTACAGGGAAGTGGACCACCTAACTCCCTGTCAACAATTTTTGATGTCATTTTCAACCAAATCCCATGCATACTTCTAACAAAAAGAAATTCATTTCTCTCAACGCCAGTGAGTCCGCAGTCATCAATAATCTATAAATTAAAAAATGAAATAATAACATGCAACATGTTGCAAAGCGGGTTCATGACTTACTTCTTGATGAACATTTTCACAAATTTTCAAAACAGGTTGATTGATATTTTTGAAATCACGTACCAATGACTTAACCTGCGATATCATTTTATATTCTTCCATTTCTGGCTGATCATGTGAGTGAGTGTCATCAGACATACCATCTTTGTAGAAAAACTTCCCTTCTCGCAAGTGACCCTTTGCACTACAGCCAGTTGTCAAGCAATTTCCACAACATACAGCAATGTCACCATTGGAATGCAGCATGTATTGCTTCAGATAAATGAAGCCACCAGCAAGAAAACCGTGGCCACCATGGAAGTTCAACATTGAAATAATCCATTATTGCACAAAAAATTCAAAGATTTTCAAAATTTCAAGAATCTTGCGATGTGGTGCTTCAAGACAATATATGCACCACAATGACTTCAGTGGATTTACAAGTGTTACCAGACTATGTTTAGGTTAATTCAAACTGCTATGGCAGCCAGGTTTATGCCCCCAATCCCAATTAAAGTTACACTTGTTTGTGATTTTGAAAGCGTTTTTATATTCTTCCA